CCACCTGCGTTTGGCATCTGGGGTCCAAGTTCTAGACATCACCAGTGTCCCCTCCCTGCTCCCTCCCACCGCTGACATCAGCCCTCAACTCCCTGCTGATCTGGGATCCATCACACTGGAGCCACTGGCGTGTGTGGAGCTGTGTTATCATTTTCACCACAAATTAACAGTTTCTATGTAAATATTGGTATTTCCTCACCCCATAGAGGCCAGGGGAGGCAAAATGGTACCGGCACATTTGATTTAAACTAATTAAAAACAGAGGGTTGTGCAACTCAATATATTGATTTTACCAGTGGGACTTAAATCTTTTATAACAAGTGTACACAGCTGCAGTGCTCTCCCGCCACCACGCTCACGGGCTAATCCTCACATTCCTTCTGACAATAACATGACAGGTCCCACACATCCCTGCCTGTGCCTAACCCGGCGACACTGCCAGGGCGCATTAAGGCGAAGCTTTGCAGTGCCCCACCAAACATCCAGTGTGTCAACAGCCCCAGCTAACTCTGGATAGTGAATGGAGGGGACAAGCCCCGCAGCCAGCAGCTCAGACTCGGGGCCTCCACTCTGTTCTGTGCACCGAAGGCTGCAGAGAGGCGGAGGCAGGGCAGCGCCGGGACTCTCTGACTCCTGCACTGGGCCAAATATGACCTTACCGCTCAGGGCAGGGCAAGATATTAAAGCGATATGGGTGATCAATCAACAGAGACGGGGCTCTCCCTGCAATGAAGTCATCCCTGGTGTCCTAGTGCGGCGGACACGTGACTCATGCTCACGTCGCAGGCACGCGGCGGTCAGAGATCCTCCAGCAGCTGTGTTTATCCGGGCAAAGGCCCGAGGCCACCATAAGGCCCGAACCCCAGCCCCTGCGAGGTCCATGTCAGACGTGCTTTCTTCTCTCCATACACTGCCCCCCCCTGCCCCGGCCCAAATCACCACCTTTTGCTGCCCTGAAACCAACTTTTATCTGGGCCACCTCCCTTGCCCCTTTGACGGGGACCACGTCACAACCAAATGACAACCCTGGAATAAAAGCCAAAAACAGCCGCTCAAGCTGGTGTCCAGGGCTCAGCCTTACCCTTTCTTGATTCCAGAAGGGAAATAAACTACATAGATGATCCAAAAAGTTCAAATCTGGGTCACATATATCCTTGGGAAAAGGGGAGGGGGCGCTCTGATTTATAGAAGCAGGAAAATGAGGTTTAAAAGAAGTGATCTTGAAAGGGTTACTAAAAACACAGCTGTTGGTACACTCCTATAGCGAAGGCGCTGTGCAGAAAAAGCAAGAACGAAAGGAAGAAAGCAGGGGAAGCCTGTGTGACATCTATATTAACCTCTGGCTGCTCACCAGTGCGGGCCTCGCTGCTCAGTGCTGGAATGTGGAGCAGCCCCTTCCAAATTATAACACAAGCCAGGTTACAGCTGCAGATGCCTGCAGTCATGCGCACTCCCTGAAGGACATTTTTAAACTGTAACAGAATCTTTTTCTAATACTCGACAGTGGTAGGGCCTGTTCTGAAGGGCAAGAGGAGAGATCTTAATGCCAAACACTTGTCAACAAAAAGGGTAGCCAGATGGTATGAGGCAAGGAAAAAAAAATCATACTCCACAGCCTCTCCCACTCTCCGGGTGCATTAACAAAAGCCACTTTTATACGCTGGCTCCTATAATGATGGGTCTCCAACTTTCTCTTTTTCAAAAAAGTTCGCTTCAAGATTAAACACATTTCATCCCTTCATAACCTGGCCCAGCGATACACCCGAGTCACATGTCTCACACCACCCGGCTTCGTTAGAGTCCAAAGGGAGGCGCTGGGCTTTCCCAACGACAGAATGGCAAGGGCTAATGGCTAGATTGGGTCTGTAGGGCCACCATCGCCTGGGGACTGTTTAAAAGTGGGTAGTCTGTTTTGAATTCCAAAATTAAGTCTACATGGAGGAGTCAGAGGCTTGTTAATCCAAACCAGTTTATAAATCCTGCCATTGAACTTAAAGGGGCCCAGGCTGGGAAGATGTGAGCCCCAGTCCAGTAGCTCAGCGGGCCTGACATGAGGCTTCACGGCTCAGGATGATCTTTGTCATGAGGTGCAGTGTGTAGTCCGCACTCCCAGCACCTGGTTTCCTTGTAAATTCCCCTCTAGTTTAGATCCTGCTCACCCTGGCAAAAAGCTCAAATTCCAAGGAGAAGCACTTATAGGAACAAAAATCAGTTTGGCTGCAGACAGAAAGAAGAGTAAAAGCACCAGGTCTGCAAAAGCCTTCAGAATGCACCCAGGGTCCCCACACAGGGCCTGCAGGACAGCAGGGGGGCGTGGAGGGGGAGGGGCGCCACAGGAAGGCAGCTTCCCCAAGATTCTCATCCATCCGAAGCCTCCAGGTCCCCAGGAACCTTACCAAGGAATGGTTTACCATGAACAAGTGAAATTTTCTCACTCTTACATACAGTATGAGAATAAACTTGGCTTTAGAACACTTCATATATTACAGATCAACACATTTGCAGTCTAAGGGAAAACGGCGTGCTTTCTCAGCAAGCTCCGCCTCAGGACAAATCTCCCATCCCACCCCCTCCAACACAAATGCCACCCCGGAGAGGGGACAGGCAATGAATTCCTGTGCGGCTGCAGAACAGAAATAAAAGGCCACCCTCAGAAGCACCTAGGGGAAGCCTCTTCCCAAACTGCAGTCCAGGTCTGCCCCTAATTACCTCGAGTTTAGGGACAGAAAGAAAAAGAAAACAAGGTCAGAGCACTCTGTCAAAAGCTACTCTGTCATCTAATTTGGAGTGATGTCCCAGAAAGCTGGACTTGAGAAAGTCAAGATGGTCCCACAAAGCCCAACGTCAGCCCGACTAAGAGGTTCAGACAAGCCGGTCTTTGTCCTTTCAAGATGAAAGAAATGGATTGAAAGGTGTGGGCCAGAGGAGGAAAGCCGTCCAGCTGTGGCCTTCCCAAGCAAGCCCCAGCTTGCTCCCATGGCCATGGGGGCAGCAACCAGCCCTGCCCTAAGTTCCCAGCAGCACCCAGGTAGCCACTGCATCCTTCTCTGGTAGACAGAAGCCCTGGTCTGGCCACATTGCCTGTCTAGAAGCATCAGGGCACTCACTCCTTGCCCCGGGTCTGCAGAGCGCCCAGAGGCCAGGGCTCACAAATACCTGTTTAATGACCCCACGGGCTCTGAATGCATTCACTTTACCCACTGTGTTCAGTGGGAGTCAAGGGCAGGAACAGAACTGGAGATGCCACAAATCCCCCACCAGGGGAAGGGTCCTGGCCAACTCCCACCTCAGCAGGGCCACAGAGTTCAGTGCTCATTAATGTACTGATAGGTATGCATTTAGAATTTTTCTTCAGTTTTTGCTATAGGTAATAAAAACCGCTTAAAAATGTCACACAGCACAGTGGCTCAGCACGCCTGTAATTCCCACACTCTGGGAGGCAGAGGCAAAAGGGCCACAAGTTCAAGCCCACCCTGGGAACTTAGCAAGGTAAGGAGACCCTGTCTCAAAATAAGAAACAGAAAAGAGGCTGGGGAATGAGGCTCAATGCGAAGGCTCTGGATTTAGTGTGGAAAAAAATTCACACAGGCAGTGAAAAATCAGACCCCAGCTCCCCTTTCCCCAACCCCCTCCCGGGTAAAATCTCTCTCCAGATCACGGCGTCTTGTTCCAGTGGAACACAGGTAACCCACAAACTCGAGCATCACGGTGCTGATCTGCGTCTTGCTTTTCTCCCACCTCATATACCTTGGAAGGTTGTTCTAAAGTAGGACACGTGGAGCTGCTTCGCTTTTAACTGGTCGCTTAGTGTAATTTAAACTTTGAGTTATTTGGACACCTCGCCCTCCCGCCCCGGCAGACAATGGCCTCCCAGGAACTAAGAACCTTATCTGGAGCGGAAAGCATTAAGGCAGATCCCGGCTTCCCTGGGCCTCCCCTCCACGCCCCAGGTGCCGGGCGCAGGTCTGGGGCATCATTATTTCCAAGTTGACACAGCGCCCGTGGGCGTGTTTGCTGTTTCCACTTGGTTTGGATTTTCGCAGCAAGTTGCACAAGAAGAATGAAAGCGGCCCAGAAAACAGAGCTATCCAAGCGTGTTATCTCGAAAACCAAATATTTGATCGTGAGCCCTACAGCGCGCTGCCGGGGTGAGTTTGAGCAAGTCTGGTGAAGGCGCGCGCGGAGATGAAGGGGGAGCTCCTGGGACCCGGCGTGGCTCCAGCCTCGTGTCCCCGGCTGGGGTGCCGGGGGCTCCATACCCGCCCCTCAGCGTCTGCTCCAAGGTCCTGAGCCACCCAATCGCGAAACCCCGTGGTTTGCGCGCCACACGTGATAAACGCTGAAAATGGATTCTGCCCGCCCGGGACCTATCATTAAATATTTAAAATAGAAAGTTCTCAATGGCAGTGTTTCTTCCCCAACTCCAAGCGAGAACCCAGAGGTGGGCGCGGGGTGGCCGGGGAGGGACCCGGGGCGCACGGGCCGCGCACCACCCCAAGCAGGCGCACGGCAGGCACAGGTAGGGCTCGCCTGGGCGGGGAAGGGGAGTGCGACGGCTGCCAAGCCTGGGCCTGGCATTGCCGAGAGCCGCCAGGAAAGGCGGGAAGGCGGCTTCCCGAGAGGGGCCCTTTAAATCCAGGTATCGCGGGCCGCGCCGGCCGGGGACAGCTCACATGACCCGCCCGGCGCTTTGAACTGAGCCGCGGCCTGGCCGGCGCCTCCGCCCCAGAGATGCGGCCGGCGGGCGGCGAACCTCGGAGGAGGTTTGGACGGGGCCCTCCCGGTGACCCCCGGCGGCCGGCTGCGCCCAGCTCGCCCTACCTGGGGCGCGCGGCTTGGGGTCACTGGGGGACGAGGCGGGAGACCCTCAGTCAGGCGCTGGGGTTTTGCAAACGGCCAGGAATAGAAGGTCGGGCGGGATGGGCGTAAGAAGCGACCCCCCCCCCCGTCCCAAAGCGCCCCCGACAGAGACGCGCGGCCCCTGTCCCGCCTGCGCTCACCGAGGTTGACGAAGCTCATGACCATGTCGGCGTCGGTGAGGAAGTGGCTGTCTTGCAGGCTGGCCAGTGGGGGGCCCTGGGTGCTGAAGACGGCCTTGTACGGGTAGGAGAAGCCCTGGCCGTCGGGCCCGCCGCCCTCCTCCACCGCCATGGCGTTGTACAGGTCCAGCATGAACATGGGCGCGGAGTTGTGCTTGCCCTGGAGGTGGGGGCGCGGGCGATGGGGCAAACCCAAGATGGAGAGGATCTCACGCTGCATCTCCCTCCGCTCTTGGCTGCGGAGGCGCCGGTGGATGAAACTCGAGTGCACCTCGTTGTCCAGGCTGAAGTCTCCCAGGGCAGTGCGCAGCAGGAACAGAGGCGCCCAGAGCGCTACGAAGCTGTGCGGCGCCGCGGCGCGCAGCGAGCGCACGTGCATCGCGCCGGCTCTACGCGCGAACGGGGCTCCCGGGCTCGCGGCACCCGGGCCGCGCCGCCCCAGGTGGCAGAGGGGGGCAGGCAGCGGGCCGCACGGCTCGGTCACTTGCCGCAGACTGGTCCCGCTGCGCCCGCGCCAGACATGGCCACTCCCCGGCCGGCTGCGCTCTGCCCGGACCCCCGCCCTCTGCTCGGCGCTGGCCCGGGGCCCCTCGCCCCGCACTCGCCCGGGCGCACCGCAGGGCTGGAAAGCAGCTCCCGGGAGCGAGCGAGCGAGGAGGCGGGCGCGGGTGGGAGGAGCAGCCGGCAGCTCCAGGAGTCCGGAGAACGAGCGCGGGGAGGCAGCGAGGCGGCGGGCGGGCGAGCGCTCCTTCCTCCCGCGGCTCTGCGTCCTCGCCTTCGGGCGCCGGCGACCCGCCCTCTTCCAACCTCCGGCGCTGAGAGCCGAGGCCGGAGATTGTTCTTCAGCCCCGCGCGCCCTCGATCGCAAGAGAGGCCGCCTCGAGAGCCCCCGAGTGGTGCGCGCTGGGGCCTGGGAGGAGGAGGAGGAGAAGCAGGAGGACGGGCTTCCAGGGGCCCCTCCCGCGCCGGCGGCCTCCCACCTGCCCCGGCCCCGCCCTCCCCCTGCCGGGCCCAATGGGTTCATTCATTCCTTCCGGTGCGCTCCACAAATATTTACCGAGTGCCCACCGGGTGCCGGGTGCTGGGATTGACGCCCTGGGCCTGCGGAGGGAGGAATCCGAGTCTGCCCTGCCCTCCTGGGACGGGCAGTTGGGACGCGCAAGGAGGCCGGAGCAGAGCGGTGGGTTCTGGCGGCGGAGGGAAAAGCTGCGGTGCGGAGGAAGTGCGGAACCGGGGGAAACTCCCGGAGGCGTGATCGTCCCTCTGTGCCCCAACATGCCGTTTACTTCAGCCAGGCTGACGCCTCCACGTCCCCAGCCTGCCTCAGCTCCTAGTCAGTCCATGTGACTGCAGTGCCCCCCACCCCGCCCCCCCCTCGAATGCCACTTTCTCCCTGGGACCTCAGACCAGGGGAGCTGAGGTCGCTCCCCACACGCACACTTGCTTGATTTTTTGTAATTTCGTTCACTGTGTGGAACTGCACTGTCTTTACTGTGCCCTCTCCCCAGCTAGAAACCCAACATCCTGCAGGCCCAGCCCACCCATCCTCTGTACGGCTCTTGCTTCCATGGTGCCTTGAACCCAGAGCCTGGGCCACTAGGGCTGAACAATCAGTATTTGTTGACTGCATCAGTGAAAGCAGTGAGAGCTGGGGAGTACTTCCCCTCTCAGCTTTGGGGCCATGTGTTTGTACCCACCCCCAACCTGAGACGGGTCCCAAAGCCCACCACTCTCTGACCTTCCCAAGGCCCTCTGGACCACCGCTCCTCACTGAGGGTTCGCACACCCGGTCTCGCAGAGCACCCCTTCCCCTGCAGGGTGGGACTCAGTGAATCACTGCTCCCGGAGCCTGTGTCCTCGTCTGTAAAAGCGGGGGCACAGTGGGCCTCACCCAGAGTATCTGAGGGCTGTGCTGCTGCCCTGTGCCCTCCTCCTGGGGCTGGGCTTACGTGAGGCAGGGGCGAGGACTGAGTTTGGGGAAGGGAGTCTCCCTTTCCAACAACACAGCGGCCTGCGGGGCCACGTGATGGAGAAAGCACAGGCCTGTGGGGGGGGGCTGCAGGGACGGCCAGTCCTACTTAGGCCAGGGGGTGCAGGGTGTCCTCAGGTCTTCCCCAAGGCCCCTCCAGCTGGCCTGCGTCTGTCCACGCCTCCATTCCACGCAGTGTCGGGGGGTTGGGCAGGTGGCCCCAAGGGTGGCACCATACTGAGATTCTTAACAAACCCTCGCCGCCCCCATTTTCATTCTGCACCCCCACAGCCCGCCCGTCCTGGCACTGAGCGCATGCTGAGCAGGAGGGCACAGCAGTGAGAGACCCAGCGTGGTGGCCTCCGTGGAGGAGAGGACACAGGACAGGACACTTTAGTGTGCTTGGGGAACAGTTCCCGCCCTTTGCTTCTCCCCAGAAAGGATGCTGGGCCTGGCAACGGAGGCACCCAAGGAGCTGAAGGGGAGGGCAGCGTGCAGTGAGGAGATGTGACCCAGGGACCACTGGGGAGGTGGCATCCGGTCACTCTGGCCCGTGGGAGTGACAGTGGAGGTGAGGGGCACAGGAAGGAGTGATGTGGGGGGCTTCTGGGAGCACCGCCACTGACACTGCCCAGGGAATACTCTCCCACCCTCCCTGCCCTGCCCCAGAGCTGACTTGCCAGGGCCGCCAAGGCCAGCTGAGCTGGAGATGGAGGAAGCTGCCCCCTTCCACCTAGGAGGAAAATGCAGTAGGGCGGCCCTGCCCCATCTCCTGTGGGGGCACTGCAGGGTCTGAGTGACAGTTTACATGAAGACCACTGCTGCTCCTGCAGTGACCCCGGCCAGGGGAAGTCCTGGGAGCAGGACTCTGGGGTCCCTTCTTTGTGCATCTTACCTGAGCCCACCTGGGCCTGGCACACAGCAGGTGCTCCATACGTACAGTAGAATGGTCCTAAGGGTGGACTGGGGCCACTCACTGGGCAGGCACCAAAGGAGCTTCCTAGGCCCCTCAGCCCAGGACCCCCAGAGAAGCCATCTTTGCTCCTAGGAGATAAAGTGAGGACATGCTCTTCACATCCCGAGACCTGAGGAGATAAGCTGCCCTCTGAACTCTCCTAGCCCCTATTTAGCCTTATCTCTGGGATCATGCTGGGGGAGGGTCGACCTCTTTCTTTTCCCTGTTTCCTCCCCGAGAGGAGTCCCCAAGACTGGCCAGGCTCAGCAAACCCTTGCTGAGTGACTAAATACAAACACGCTGGCAAGGAATACCTGGGCTTGGGAGCTGAGCCCCCCCCCCAACAAAGGCTTTGCGATGGCTGGACAAGGCCTTGGTGGCAGGTGGCAGTCTGGGCTGTGGCAGCATGCCCACCCGCCCCTTGTCATACTGGGCTCTGCCACTTCTAGCTCTGTACCATGGACGAGGGACCTAACCTCTCTCTTGCCTCGGTTCCCTCATCTGTATGTAATAGGGGGGTACTAGGAGCACCTCACTCCCATGGTTGTTCTGAGGAGTCCAACGTTAATTCAACTCCCATAATTCAACTTCCCTGCGTGAAGCCTGGGGCACAGATCCATCTCAGTTACCATCTAGACAAGAAGGAAATGCATTATTGGGAAAGCCTCCTGAGTTTAAAGATACCAACAGAACTTTCAGGATGGTCTGCTTTCGGGCCGAGCAGAGAAAAGTGATGGCACTGAGAGAGAAAGGCCCAGTGACGTGACACTAGAGATGAAAGGGTAACCCTGCATTCCACTCCTCTCCATTCCCCACCCCCACCCCAGGCCAGCCAGGGCCCAGGACTCCCAGGGGGCTATCTCATTTCCCCAGCAGCCAGCCCCACCCACACACCCCAGAGCCTTCCCAAGCCAGGGCACCCAGCTCGAGGTTGCAGGGCGGTAATCGGATCTGCCCCAGTCTGCCGCACACCTGGGGCCCCTTTGCACGGATGAAAGAGCCCAGTGCAGTGAGGGGCAGGCGTTATTGTGCTGGCGGCGGTTGTCCCTCACTCACCAGGAGTTTCCATGGCACACATCTCCTGCACATCCCACAGTGTGTGTCTCCAAGGCGACAAAGAGAAGGTGGGGACCTCATCTTCATCCCCAGAACTCTCACTTCATCTGCCCAAATGGAAGCCCAGTTTCCCCACGGGGTGCCTGGCACAGCAGGGGGGGCATGTCCGAGCCGGCACCTCTGTGCACCCCACCTGGCCAAGGCCAGATGATGAGGTCCTCAAGCCCCGACAGGGAATAGAGGGGCAGGAATATGCTCACTCACACTGGCGCTTGAAAATCCTGCAAAGGACATTAGTGTGATAAATGACTGTTACTGTTTTCTGTACTTATCATAACATGCTGTGCTTTTCATCCTTTAGAGCATAATCCTACTTTTATATGTAAAAGAGTTTACTGTAAAACAGTGTGCTGCTATGCCAGTGGTAGCCTCAGGTATCTCGTGTTTAACTGCGATTTAGATAATATCAAGGGGCCATCACAGATGACTGACGCATACCTTCTCAGTTTGCACTTAGAAGTTGGCACTCTGTGTGGTACTTTGCGATACACACGGATAAAATTGCCTAATAACATATTTCTCAGATTATAGTTCCATCACGTGTCACATGACTGTATTGAAATTTAAATTTTAAAAATTTGGCCTATGTGGAGTCTACTAGCTAATTAGAATTTTTTTCCAGACCACTGTTTGTTCAATATTAGTTTTGAAAGTCTTTCGAAAACAAATCACATCCTTTGCTGTCTTGTTAATGCTTGAGATGTTTTTTAAATTATATGGAAAAATGTTTAAGTACTTTTCAGTTTTGCTTTGGTTGAGTTCTATTATATTTGAATAGTATTATAGTTTTTTCCCTTGCATTGCTTTTCTTTGAATAATTTTAATATTTGTATATGTGTATGTTTAGTGAATGATAATAGCTATACATTTTTTTTAATTACATAAATATATAAATTTTTAAAAATACAAAAACAAAAAAAAAGACATTACTTCAACACACCTGTAATTCTCGTTCCCGTGCAAACCCTTCACCGTGCAGGCGCTCTGGGTTCCTTGCACTCTCTCCTCCTGGGGTGTTTTTGGAGACTCAACATCCTCTATTGGTCTTAAACATATGTGGTCATAGCCGCAGCTCCAAATGGAAAACACAGAAAGACAGACACACGCACACCGTTCAGAGAAGGCTGACATCACAGCGGAATTCCAGAGCCTTGCAAACAGTGAGAGGAAGCTGCGGTTTTGTTTATTCCCATCGCAGCTGTTATTTCTTCTCTCAGAAAAAGCCTGTTTTGGTTTTGAGCATTAACTGTCTTTGGTTCAGCTTTAGAGGGAGCCCCTTTCCACTCCTCCTTCAAGAGCTGACTCAGAGGTCCTGGCTCCCTGGAAGCTAGCATTTGCTCCTGCGTGTGGCATCTACTGGACTATACTACCTCCTGCATGTCCCCCTCCCACGGAGCAGCCTCTTCTGCTCTCCCCTCACTGAGAAGACCACGACTCACTTGCCCAGAGACCCCCAGGTAATCCCCGACCAAGCCGGGATGGGATGCTGCACGTGTCTGCACGGCGCAGGTCTCAGCCGAGCTCAGGGACCTGGGAGCAGCCCTTTCTCCCTTGCTTTAAGATGCATAGAGCCCAAGACTCCAGGCTGGTAACCTGTTCCCCAAGGCTGCTGCTGCTGGTGCTGCTCATGCTTCGGATTCGTGTCGAGGAGCAGAGCTCTAAATTCCTGAGGTCACAATTAACGAATTGTTGGAGGCTTCACACTGACAATTGAATAATCTGTCAGCTATAATTTTAATTAACTGATTCCCCCAACTGTTACAAAAAATAATACCAGAGATGAAATATGAAATATTACATCTCCCAACCTGTTAGCTGTATGATACACTGAGCTCTTGTTGTTCTCTAGAAATCGATGAGTTCTAGGAACAACAGGGGTTAAGAGTAGAAGGTATTTATGGATAGGAGAGCTCCCGAGGGGCAGGCTACCCCCAAGTGGGTAGCCCGGGACCCTGCTTTACAGAGGAGTTTTATAGGGTGAAACCCACGTACGTACAACGTGGGACACATCCATGAACATCCAATCAGGTTACAAGTGTAGGCACTTAGGTAATGGTGGTTCAATTGGGAAACAAGCCACCTAAGAAGCGTAGATGGAAAGAACAAAGATTCTCCTAGGAAGTGGGGGGTTCACAGATCTCTGGTCACCCACCAGGGTGGCTGATGTCTATCTAGACTTCATTAGGCCCAGTGTTTGTTCTTTGAGGAAGTATGTAGGTCTGGTCCTCTTGTCTTTATCTTGAGGCCTGGTTTTTAGTCGATGGGTCTCTGGTCACCGCTGTGGTGTGTTTCACCTTTGTGCTGACCCTCTCGAGGACCTGAGTCCTTCACTGGAGCTCACCCGACAGAAGGCTTGTGTCTGTCCCGGTGCTGGGGGCACTTGCACATAGCAGGTGCCCTATCAGTGTTCAGGGAGTATACAGAGTGCCTCTTCACCCCTCTTCCCTGCCTCCTTTATGGCAGAAGTCACACACTTTACCGCCTAAGGCAGAAGCCAGGTCACCAGCGAAGAGATGCAGGGCCCACAGTAGAAAGCCCAAGGAACATTTACCTTCCTCCCAACCCCACGTGAGCACAGACTTGATGACAAGTGGCAAGGGACACTGGATTCAAGGGGCATCCTCTCCTGGATTCACGAGGAGTGGGCACCACAGTGAACAGACCTCATTCCCACGGGGAGGCGGTCCAGGAATTTGATTCCAAAGCTACCAGAGAGTTCTGAGTTTCTGGAGAGGCTGGCAACCTGGGCGTGCATGTGACAACACAGCTACCAGTCCACTTCTGCAAACCCAGGGTGCCCCTGGCCTTTCAAAGGGTGCTATGGGGTTTGAAGAAGGCACGGCCCTTATGCAGCCAAAGGACCTGGTCAAGCAACTCCCTGCAAGCCCCTCAAGGGCTGCAAAGTGAGTAGCTGAAAACTGCCCATGGGCTGGTGACAGATCTGATAAACTCCTCTCCCTGCAGAAACATCAAAAACCAGAAATCTTTTTTTAAGAGCAGGAATGTTCATTGCTCTAGCTTATCAGCGTCTCCTTCCTCCCAGTGACATTTGAACCTCTTCTGTTTGGGGACTCCCCATCTTTAAAGCAATGTCTACCTGCTCCCTTGAAGGACAGCCAGAGAGAAAGAGAGAGAGAGAGAGAGAGAGAGCTAGATATATAGAGAAGCAAGCAAAAAGGCAGCAGACGGACAGCACCATGAGCCGCTGGAGCCTGTTGAACCTGAAGCCAGTCCCACCCAGGACTTGGCTGTTCAAGCCAATGTGTGCTGAGCTTTCCGTCAGTTACAATAAAATTCTGTAGATCTATGGTTCAGTGCCTTCATCTTGAAGATAGAGAAATTGAGACCCAGAGAGAAACCATCAGCCCCGAGTCCCACAGTGAGTCAGTGCAGGCAGGGAGTCCTCTGGGCTTTCAACTCCCGGGTCACCACTCCGCAGTTCTGCTCGCTGTCTCTGTTCTCTTCCCTCACTGCCCTTGCTGTGTTTCTGCTCATTTTTAAAAAAATCGTCCTTTTGCGCCAGGGATTTAGCTCAGTGGTTTCGCCGCCTGCTGTGCAAGTGCAAGGACCCGAGTTCAATCGCTGGTACAAAAAAAAAAAAGTTGCTGTTTCTTTTACTTCAAGTTTTATCTTTATTGCCTCCCTCTTGGTGAAATGTCTTTTTAAGCAAGACTCATGTGAAAAGATAGTTTCAGAAGATCAGCAGATGCGAGCACATCTCGTACACAATACATAATACGAAGCTTGATAGGAGTTAGTGTCAATGACAAGGCGACAGGGCAGAAAGGTTTGCGGTTTCACTCCAGTTTTGTTATTGTTGTTGTTGTTGTTGTTTTAGGGTTTCTGGCAGTATTGGGGGTTGGGCCCGCTGAGCTATGTCCTCAGAACTTTTTATTTTTCATTTGGAGACCAGGCCTCTCCATGATGCCCAGGCTGAACTCAAACTTGTGACCTTGTCTCAGCCTCCCAAGGAGCTGGGATTAAAGAGCGTGCTGCCTGAAGCTCATCTCTGATCTTCCTACTGCCCGGAATCAGATACTGCGTCTCCCACCTCCAGCTGAGTTAGGAAGGCTCATAAGGCGGAGGGCTCAGCCAAGGCCCACGGTCCCAAACAGCAAGACCAGCATCCACTGCCAGGCCCCCCTGTGCTGACTCCCTGTGTCTTCCAGCCAGGGCCCCTTGTAGAAGCACCAAGATCTTTATTTCTGTGCCTTACACGATGACTGACCACTGAAGAGATTCACCAGATATAGCAAATAAAAATATAACACAGTTAAATTTTAATTTCAATTAAACAATGAATAAATTTTTTTAGTATAAATATGTCCCAAATTGTATGGGACATCCTTATATTAGAATTGGCCATTGTTTAACTGTGATTCCAGCATAACCAGGCATCCTATACTCCATCTGGAATGCTACACTAAGAAACATCAGCTGTGTCCTCAATTCTGTCTTATAGCATAATGCCCACACCAGGGCCTTTGCACTTGCTGATCCATCTGCTTAGGAAGCTTGTCTCCCAATATCTATGTCCCCTTTCACCTCCTCTGGGGCTCTGCTCAAATATAATTTCATGATTGATACCTTCCCTTCACCCTGTCAGGAACAATCCCCATTTTCTGTGTTTACCACCACTCATAATGTGTACTTACATGTTTAATTTTTTATTGTCTCTCTTCCTCCACTAAGATGTGGGTACAGATTTTGTTCTGATTTGTTCCTTGCTGTGAAAAGATTCCAAAACAGTGCCGTGTATGTTGTGAACGCATGAATGAACTCTCCAAGAGCAAGTAGGGTTCGTCTGGAGCAACGCCTGACTCGAAATCAGGGGTGGGATCGTCCCCCGAACTCTGCTACCACTGTGTGATGGCAGCTGTCCCCCCACCCCGAGTCCCCACTCTGAGGGTGGGGCTCATCTTAGAACCCCATGGCTCAGGGTGATCAGGTGGCCACAGGGCTTTGGCAGTTGGCTGCAGACTTACAAGAACACTTGCTTGGAACACAGGCGTGGCTGCTTTCTTTCCTCCCTCTCTGCTCACACATGATAGCTGAGCCCCAGGGACACAAACTAGGGGTGCACAGCATGCGCCCACACCCCAGCTCTCTGCACACCAGGCACCAGCACTTCTGGGCCAGAGAAGAGGAGCATGTGCTCACAGACGTTGCACCGACAGCCGACAGCCGTTGCTACCTGTATCGCCTCACTTGATCCACACGCCTCTTTCAAAAGAGGGATTATTGTTATGTGCATTTTACAGATGAGGAAACTGAGGCTCGGCGAGATTACGCAGTCTGCCTAGGGTTACACGAGCAGAGAGCGAGAAGTCACATTTGAACTCAGTCACCCTGACAACTTCAGACAGTTCACCTGTGAAGTGGGTATAATCGGTGCCACCTTCTTGGGGAGGTGTGGGAGTGAAATGAGAGCATTTCTCAGGGTCTGCAGGGGCCCAGGAAGGAAGTAGGTAGGCAGCCACCACAGGCAACCTTGCCGTCCCTCCCCAGCCAGAAACAGGCAGGTGAAAGGCGGTCACATGGCTGCCACCATTGCAAGCTGACCAGAGCCCCCGTGACCCAGCCTAAAGCAGACAGCCAGATGGACTGGACTCACTCTTGGGCATCAGAAGTGGAAAACTCAGTGCAAATGGAGGGGGGGCGGGGGGGGGGACAAGTCTGGAAGTAGAAAGCAGAGCCAGCACAGCCGTGCAGGGGGCAAGCATGGTGGGGTTACAGAGGAGCCCAGGACTGCTGTGTGCAGTGGGGCCATACACGGTGGCCTGCTCTTGGAGCACCGTCCTTCAGAATGGTGACCTCCAGAGTTGTGCAGTCCACACCCCGACGGACGGTACTCAGCAGCCCCAGGTTGTTGTCCGCTCATTGATGATTCACGCATCTATTTATTTCCTTTGCGTGATAGTTTCTTTTCAGGCCCTGGGGCGGTGGCAGTGAAACGACATTCAAGATCCCTTGTATATTAGTTGGAAGAAACAGATAAGAAACAGAAATAAGTGACAGGAGCAACAGGAAAAAAAGAAGCAAGAGGCTGAGAGGCCAGCGAGGTTTTGCATCCACGTGCTAAGCAGGGAAGAGTTTTGCCCGGCAGAGGCAATGGCAGATGCAAAGGCCCTGAGCTGAACCCCAAGAGCAATGGGCTCCTTGGTCCAGAATTACCATCTAACCATGGGCTTTCCTGGACTCTGTGGGCTCCCTAGCCAGGCCCCCAATGCAGATGTCCATGTGACACCCCCATGGTCCTCGGGGTGGCTAGAGTACTTACACCCCAAAATCCCAGCCTGAGCCCTCCCCGTGGGACAAAGTCCGGACTGGGCAATGCTGGGCCTCCCTCTGCTTCTCCTCCTCATCTGCCCAACCTGTGCCCACCCGCCCCCACTGGGCTCCCCAGAGCTACCTGTAGCCACACAGTGAGCAGCAAAGGGCTTTTCGGACACCGAGTCTGGGCTTTTCCTTCAGGGCTCCCAGGAAGTGCAAAAGCCACCAACTTCTGAAGCCACCACTACCTGCAGTGCCGGCCGTGGTCTGTGGGTCTCCATCTCTCTCTGTGTCTCTGGCGCTATGGCCCTGATTTTGTTTTTATAGGGTAAAGATTCTTTGATTCCCAGATGCCATGTGGGAATTTGCTGGGGGTGGGATAGAAGCCAGAGAAACAAAAGGGTGATTTACAGAGGTTCAAAAGCCTCCTTCTAACCAGAAAATTTAATTTGCAGACATTCAGTTCTTTCATTTCCCTTTGTGAAGGAGAGGGAAAGAAATCAATCGAGTGTGGCCATTCTGGGTCCCCTGGCTTGGAGCTTAGATCAAGGCATCTGCGACTTCAGAAAGTCTTGTTGGCATTAAGCAATAAACAGGATGAGCAGATAAAACCATCCTGTGTTTAAGCAGCCTGAGGCAGAATTTCTATAGATAAAACAACTGAATATGACTCAGAGAAGTCAAGCTGCAAAAAAAACGGGGCCCTATGAAAGCACCCAACTTCCCCGGGAACTAAGCTGACCAGGCCCAGGCAGGATCGGGGTCTGGATTGTTCTCTGCAGCTCCAGATCCACCAGGAAGCTCCGGTTCTGAGTTGCGCATTGCAAAAAACTCACCTCCACCAATCCATTCACTGCGAGGTCTCTGCCATCAGAATGTTTGCACATGGGGCTGGGAGGACGTGAGGCTCCTGGGAAAGGTGAACAGGTGTCTTCACGGGGGACCCCATGCCTTTAATTAGTGGGGAAAAGATGCCACAGTGCTTCTGAGCTGGGTTTTGTCTGTTTTTGTTTGTGGTGCTGGGGACTGAATCCAGGACACTGACATGTGCTGCTCCACCGAACTGCACCCCAACCCCGAGCTGTTTTATTCACTCAGGAGTCCAGTGAGTTCAATGGCATGAACCTTAGTTGAAATGGCTTAATTCGAAAGCCAGAGTGGTGTCCCTTCAGAGACACCCTGTTCAGGCAGTGCTGGGCCAGCAACTTGCAGCTGTGTTTCTGTCTGTCTCTCCAGCTGCCCCTTTCAATTTGGCATGTGTCTGAATGCTGGCTTCAGTATGCCCTACCTGTACGTGTTGCTGCAGGATGCATTCAGCAGGTAGATTCCAGCAAAGTACTTGTGTACGAGCAAAGAATTGCAAGTACACAGTCAAAAGGTAATGGAAAAGCAGCTATGTTCATTGAAAAATTCCAGGAAGATGCTCTCAGGGCAAGTCATTGCCAAAAAATATGGCATGAACGTACAAGTGGTGCGAGGATGACAGGAAAGTAAAAAGCACTGCCCTGAACACAGGTAAATCAGGCTTTGGGAACTGAAAGGCTCTGTGCCCTTCTGGGTGCCTCCCACTGGGTCTCTAGGGTAAGATGGACAGGAATGGTTGACGGTGCTGAGTCTCAGGGGCTTCCAACACACTCATGCCTGACCCAGGATTCACTCTAATCTGAATTATATGAATGAGACGTGGTGCACATTTATGAACCCTTAATCAGGTTCAAATAGGATAAGGGTGATCGAAGGTCAGGCCAGAAGATCCAAGTGTGCCAGCTGGCCTAGAGCTTCAAAGATTTCCTGGGTTTTTCTTCTATTATTTTCTACCTCTCTTAGGACAAGGGAGGGAGGAGAATGGTATTAGGTTGCTCTCCAAACTCAAATGGGTGCAGGGGAGTGATTTCCTCAGTCCCACTGTTCTAAGTGCACTAGATGGAGTTCCTCTGCCTGCTGGGGACTGACCTCCCCTCTGCCGTGCAGCCAGGGAAAGGGAGGGCCAGGGGACCATACAGGCCTCAGCCCACTGTGAGATCAGCCATGGAGCAGGGGGATGGAACATCAAGACTTCTGGCCTGGACCTCCTGCTCACCCCTGAGTCAGCGTCAGGGTCCGGGCACTGCCAAACAAAGGAGGCTGGCACCAGGAAATCGGGAAAGGATTATTGGGCAGGCAGAAATGAGACCATGTTTGATTGAGGGGCCCTTTGTGGCCGAGTGTCCAGCTGAGCTGGGGTTCTGCTGACAGAAGACCCCCGGGGACCAGCACTTGTCCCTGGCCAGGGGCCCTTCCATCTCGGAATTCTGCTCCCCCTGCAGCAGATCATTAGCACTGGATGCCACCGCAGTGGGGCCACTTGTGTGTGATTCCCCAGGACACAGTGCCCACTGTTGTCTTGCACTTCTATGCCTAACAAGCAACACTTGGTGCTCACTAAACACCTGGTTGGCAGAGGGGTAAACAAACCCCTGGACACTTCGTATCCCAGCCTAATGAGGCTCACTAGTGTGCGCCTCCCAATCGCTTCTCCACCCCCACATGACAACCTTGCTCAGTCCCTCAGTGCCTGGCACACAGTAGGCACAAGACAAGCAGCTGCCCAATTAGGGAACGTGTGTCATTTGCCAGACAATTTGGCTTTTGCTTGTGTGCTGGTTTGCCTTCTCATCTTTGCTCCTACTTTTAACTTTAAACTCATTTCTTCTTCTTCCTGAATTGATTTTTCTAGGAGTTCATTCTGTCCTCAAGGAATAAGTACCTGTAGAGCATTACTACATGCCAAGCACTTTCCAAGAGGGGGACATGCAGGAAGGGACACCATGGACCGAGTTTCCTGACTTGTGGAACTTTCAGCCTCATGGGACTGTCAGAAGGGGATCCAGTGACATGGAACAGGGGACAAGAGACAAGAGAAGGGCAAGACCTTCTAGAAAAAGCCCCTTGGAGGAGAGGTATCTGAGCACAGTAGGGGGAGCTACTCATATCACCAGGGAGAACCATTCTAGGTCAAGAGAATAGCATGTACAAAGGTCCTGTGGCAGGAAATGCTCATGTGTTTAAGGAAGAGTCACAGGGTCCCTGAGACTGGAGCATTAGTAAACCCAGATTGAGCTTTAAGAGCTGAGCTCAAAGGTTTAATGAGCGGTGCATGATGGGGGCCTTGAACATCAAGTAGCAGACAGAGTCTCAGGCAGGTCACATGACCATCCCAGGCTGCAAGGGATGTTCCATGGGAAAAAGAAGTTCCACGTCGAATTTAGCTGCTGTTGCGAGAAGCAGATTCTGCTGGCAAGAGAAAGCAGCTGGAAACTGGTTGCTGGGCACAAAAGCGATGGTGATACCACCGGGTGAGAAAGTTCAACCTCAACCAAGCCAGTGGTGGGTGACTTCCAGTTACTAGCGCCCAGAAGGAAAGAAACACAGCCACAAATCTGACGAGTAAAAAATGCACTGTAGAAAAGCATTAAAACGTCACCTTTCTTACTGTCATACCCGCCTCCTAATTGCCCACTGTATTGAAGGGAAAAGCAGGCGGTAAGATCGACCCCATGCTGAAACATGTCGCTTCACCACCCTGCCTATCATTCAAAGTGCCCAGGAGAGGGAAAGATTCCCCCGGGGATGTGAACAACCCTGAATAGCAACCACTTATCCGGCACTTTCCGTGTGCCCAGTGGTAGGCTCCGTGTTTGAATTGGGAGGATTGTGTTTGGCCCCATGTGACGGAAGCCAGTTCCTGATGCCTTGATCAAGGGCGTGATTGTTTATTCTGAAGAAGGATTTTATAGGGAGGAAGTCCAAGACTAAGGCAGCATCTCAGAACAGCCAGCAGGTACCTCTTCTGTTGAAGCTTCCTTCTTGGCTGTCCTTAGCCTATGGCTTGCAACATGGCTGCTCCAGTTCCAGGTATCACAGCATCCTTCCCAACAGAATGAATGAAAGAAGGAGGACAGACAAAAAGGGCCTGCCAGGTGGGTCTGATCTGCTCTTTTAGGAAAAGAATACCTTTCCTGGTAGTGTATGACATAATCATATATCATCCTCACCGTTCCTCAGCCAGCGAGAGACCACATGGGCACGTAGTTGCTAGGGAAGCTGACCAGCGAGAACTTTCCATGGCACAATGTCAGTTCTGGTAGAAAGGAAAGAGAAGAGAATGGGTCCTGGGTCAGCACTCAGCTGCCACCTCCATATCAAAGGCTTAATGCATTGCATCCTCCCAGTGCCATTATAGGGCAGGGACCGTCACATCATTAGCTCAGAGGCTCAAAAACTGGCCTGAGGGCCAGGTTCACTTGCTCATCAAGTTTCATTGGAACCCAGCTATGGCCAATTGATTACCTATTATCTATGGCTGCATTTCCCCCTACAGTGCCATTTGAGAAGTTGTGACAGAGACTGTGTGGAGTCAAAGAATATTTATGGGACCGGGGATTTAGCTCAGTGGTTCCGCCACCTGCCTCGCAAGAGCAAGTCCCGAGTTTGATGCCCAGTACCAAAAAAAATTTATGGTCTGACCCTCTACAGAAAATGTTTGCCCAACCTGCACTGAGTCCTTTCTGCTCAAAGTGTGGTTGGCAGGCCAGGGGCTTCAGGCTCCTGGGCCAGAACCTGCCACTCACCATGTGACTGGACAGTTGGCCAAGCCATCCTGCCCCTCTCTGCTCTCATCTGTGAAGTGGGCAGAATCATTTCTCATTTCGCTGCTTCATGTTGCCCCAAAGAAGGGCCAGGGACTTAGCTCAATGGCACCACACCTGCCTTGCAAGTGCAAGGTCCTGAGTTTGATCCCCAGTACCAAAAAAAAAAAGACAAGAGAGCAACATGTTGCCCCCAAGAGTCACTGAGATAATCCATGGGAAATGACACATAATTACCGAAGAAGCGATGTCTAACTGCTAGGATGGATCTTCGTGTCCTCCTGATGGCAACCTCTCCTCAAGAGGGCACCTCCAGACCCTCAGGGGAGAAAGGGAAGCAGCTCAGGGACAGTCCCGCTGCTGGGAAGGCAGCATGGTGACCTCCATCGGGTACCAGGTGCGCTTTGGGGTTTTTCCTCCGTACCACACAGAAATGTGTCGGTACAGTCATTCCTCACAGAGCTCAGTCTGGTCGTCGGGGGTTGGCATGTGCAGCCCTCCTCGGGCCTTTGTGGGCGCATGCCGACTGGCTCCTTCGGCTCCTCTTCTTCCAGGACCCTGAGGGAAAGTGGTTCTGAGCCGGATAGCAAGACTGACTGGCAGCTTTGGGGACAGCCATGCAGGAAACCTGGACATGGAATCCAGAGGTCAAACAA